TAGATAGATAGATAGATAGATAGATAGATAGATAGATAGATAGATAGATAGATAGATAGATAGATAGATAGATAGATAGATAGATAGATAGATAGATAGATCGCGGGTGATAGTGAACACGCTGAAGTACCTCCGCAGAGTTCAGAGGCGCTTTCACCCCGACCGTGTCTCGCCAGAGTGGGTCACGCCTCTCTATATTTAGACCTACAGGGCGTGGTGAAGGGTAGTAGGGTTGTAAGTCTACTGTTTTCACCACAAAGTTTGAGTTGAAGCTATACCGCACTACCACTTCGATCGCTACACTGTAGCAGCCGCGTTTGGGAAAGGAGCGAGCTACTAACTAGAAGAGCCAAAATAGGGACTATAGTTGGTTGCATAGTCTACAGTTGCAGTGCGCTGCTCCAACACATAAAAGGAACTGTGATTGCTGTTGATTCGCGCTCTTCCGTCGTATACCTCTGCGTTCTTTTCGTAGGTGCTTCTTCGTAATGAGCAGCGTGCTGCGACTGTCGAGCGGTGACTATTAATTTACGTTTGTCCTGTGAGCTTTCCTTTTGTGGGTTCTTTGCGTCTGAGCAGCGCTCTCTAAGTTGCAAGCCGCCTGCCATTATTCCTGTGACATTTCGATTGGTTCCTATTGCATTTATTGCTTCGTCTTTGCGGCGAAATTATGAATGTTTATTTTTTTATAGAGGCCCTTCGAAATCCCACGGTGATTTGATGTGCAAGCGATTGACGTATTTTGGCGTAAGAAAGGGTGCTCGGCCATATTATGCCAACCGATAGAAACTATGTGAACTTCTTTGTAAATTGTGATCGGAAATGCGGCTCGAAAAATGTTGGTCAACTGTCGGCCAGTGCTGCCTAGTTAGCAAAATATTGGCTAATGTTGGCCGTCAGCGGCTGTGACATTTCCTGAATTCTGTTTCAATCTAGCAAATAAATTTCCTGCCAGTTCCCTCTTATACGAGCAAGTGAAGGTCAGAAAGCAATATTATTCCATCGCATAATTACATTATTGATCTTAATGACCTAATTAGCCGTCATGCGTGCATTACAAAGATAGCTAAAAAGCTAAGGCTGCGTCAAAGCGGGCTCATTCGCAGTAAGGATCTTTGTGCGGGAAAGCCAACTGCTGTAACAACCATCGCTTTTCAGTCGACCAACTAATATTTACTTCGACTTTTTTATTACTCCCTTTACTTAAGACCAAGAAATCAACGCATCTCCACGAATTGAATCATGACGAGTGGGTAAAGCTCTAGGCCCACTAGTGCATGTAAATAAGTAACGACGCGTTTCTACAGTATATACAATGTGTTTTTGCCGTTTTGCCGCCACTTCCGCGCCCTCAAGTCGGCGTTGCCGCTTTGCCTTTCGCGGGTGAGAGCGTTTTCACGGTCGTTTTTCATCCGTGGCAAGAAGAAAATGTGCGGTCTGGAACGCGCTTGTTTTTCAGCGTCATCATCGTCAGCGTCATCTTCATGGCGTACAGGGGATAACTTGCATGTGCTGTGCCGAACGATGGACAACAGACATACCAGACACTAAAGTGCTTCACCTCTTAAACAAGGGGTGATGAGTGGAGTGCCGCGCGCGAGTTCGGATAACTTCGCTACAGTGTTAGCAAAGTAAATACAACTAAGTATCTTGGAGTCACAAAAGATAACAATCAATTTACACGTGCTAATGCAGATACAAAATGCGTGCTCCAAATTATTCTCGAGAAGTCCCGTGCTTACGCACGCGTAAACACTTCCGTATTACTACCTAACGAATATCTTATTGATATTCTGTTCCAAGTTAGGCGACTTCAGAAACGTGCTGTGAGAATCATTACTCACTCCAAGTACAATGATCCTGGGAAACCTTTTTTTTTTCCTTAACACTGTTTGGTCCGTTGACGTGCAGTGAAACTAGCCAAATATTTTTTACATTATTGTCAACTACAACTACCCATTTAATGAGTCATTGTTTCGCGCACCTTTATTCATTAAGAACAAACTTTTTGTAATTCGAATATTTTAAAGACTAACGGCGAGTATGGAAAATGCCTGTTGCAATTAAATAACAATAATTTTTATTAGGGTTTAACGCCTCGAAGTTATTATATATGATGATGAGAGATGCCGTAGTGGAGTGCTCCAGAAATTTTGACCACATGGGATTCTTTAACGTTCACCTAAATCCAAGCACATGGGTCTCTATCATCTCCGCCACAATCGAAAATGAGGCGGCCACGGCCGGGATTCGATCCCTCGACCTTCGGGTCAGCAGTCGAACACCATAATCCCTAGAACACTTGACTAGTAATAATCACTAAAATAATTACTAAAACACTTCACTAGTAAGATCTCCCCCCCCCCTCGTGGCTCGTATTCACAAGAACGTCTGACACCTATTTTTTTAAAGAGACGTACGATGGGAAGTGACAGGAGTTAATCCCCTCTTCCCCTACCTCGCCCGAAGTAAACTGCCAGACTTCAAGAGAATATATCAGCCAATGACAATGCGGGACATATCGTTGGCCAAGCCGACAGACTAATGGGAAAATGCACTAACGAAAGAAAAGAGTGTTTTCCATCCCTGAAATGTTATTTATGTTGACATAAAAATGTATTCCGATTTCACTAAAAGGACTACCAAATCACCATTATGTATTAATGAGTCTCTGAATGTAATGTCATGATTAGCCCGACGACTAATTGGCATTTTCAGTAGGTACTACCGGCGTCAAATGAAACACGAACAGCGGCAAGTTTTTCGTGATGATATAGGGCATGCGCACCATCCAGCCATCACGATTGACATGTATGCGCATCCTGTTCGGTAGCTCTGCGCATAAATTCCTGCCTGTCCATCTTGATAAGTGGACGGCGCACAGTATACCATTACGAAGGCTTGTCGCTGTTCATGTTTCATTTGACGCTGATAGTACATCGGTAATTTTTCTTGATTTATTGATTGACGTGTAGGTTTAACGTCCCCAAAACCACCATATGTTTATCAGAAACACCGTAGTGGATTGATTGATTGATTTGTGGAGTTTAACGTCCCAAAACCACCATATGATTATGAAAGACGTCGTAGTGGAGGGCTCGGGAAATTTCGACCACCTGGCGTTCTTTAACGTGCACCCAAATCTGAGCACACGGGCCTACAACATTTTCGCCTCCATCAGAAATGCAGCCGCCGCAGCCGGGATTCGATCCCGCAACCTGCGGTTCAGCAGCCGAGTACCTTAGCCACTAGACCACCACGGCAGGGCACACCGTAGTGAAGGGCTCCGGAAATTTCGACCACCTGGGGTTATTTGGTAATTTTTTTTAAGTGTTCTCTCTTCGTTATAACCCTTTTTTGCTTTTGTGTGGTTATTTCAAATGCTGTATTGTTTATTTACCGGTTCCGTATTCGAGATTTGGCAATATATAACATTTTAGTTATGCTTTTCAAAAGTGCGATTATTGAAATGTTACATTATAGAAACAAACTAGCCTATACTTACAGGTCCGCACGGTGTGTGCGAACTCAGTGTAAAAAAATAAATAAAGTTCAATTCAGCTTGACGATACGACCACAAAAAGCTAACTTGGTCTTTAGTACACGACCGACTGTACTGGATGCTACAACTTTACGGTGGTTAAAATAAAAACTGCCCACCTGCCTTCTCTAGACCTTTCAAGCTTCATGCACACAGTGAGTGAGGCAGCAGGTCCCCACTACAGTATCACTCGAAGGAAAAATCAAGAGCGTGCTAATCGAGCAATAAGTGAAGCATCCGTGACAGTGTCACGGAAAGTGCCGGCAGCGTGGTGTTGGTTTGTGACGGGCTACTTGGCGGGACGAAATATAGGTGACGCGCTCGATAACAACAAATCACTGTGAAGCAATGCACACATGTGTCTCTGTTCGGCTCCATAGGCACGCACCGTTCCATCAATATTTCCCCTGTATGACTGATTGATATGTAGGGTTTAACGTCCCAAAACCACCATATGATTATGAGAGGCGCCGTGGTGGAGGGCTCCGGAAATTTCGACCACCTGAAGTTCTTTAACGTGCAGCCTAATCTGAGCACACGGGCCTACAACATTTCCGCCTCCATCGGAAATGGAGCCGCCACAGCCGGGATTCGAACTCCTCGACCTTCGGGTCAGCAGACGAGTACCTTAGCCACTAGACCACCGCGGTGGTGCCCCCTGTATGACTAGGCAGCGATATCGAAGTATGGGTTACCGATGGCGAATTCGTAGTTCAGAACTTCAGCAACTGTTCTCACCGCAGTTGTTCACTGTCAGCGTACACCTGCTTCCGGACATCATTTGCCTGCATTTCCAGGGCGTTGTTTTGAACGCACGATGCTGATAGCTCGTTCCATTTCCCTTTTTCCCGCATAAGTTCAATGCTACGGATAAAGATCGTAACGACGACCGTCATAACATTTGAGAACAGTGTTGTTTTGCTTGTTTCCTGCTGCGAATCCCAGTCGCAACATAACAGCTGTTTTCACCATCTGTATTCCTGCCACTAACGTATTACAACAGGAAGGTTATAAAAAGTGCCTTATGAAAAAAATAAGTGACACGAAAAGGTGCACTACGTAACTAAATACATACGAGTACGTCGAAGCATGCTGTGTGAAGTCCACTGTATTTATCTGCATAAACTTCTTACTTTCCAACTCTTGGCTATTATAGGCAAAGTGCTGCATGAACAGATGACTGAACTAGTTGGTTAATGGTCGGAGAAAACAGCGCCGAGTCCACAGTTTAAATAGCGGTGGTCTTCGTTAAAATCCTCCGCATCTAAAACGGAAAGACCACCAATGTCATGATCATCATCATCCCAACATTTTCGTTCAAGTTATGGCCTACAATTTCCTGCGACGCTTTTGCTCGCGCAGCATAAGTGTCGCTTGGGATGACATTGAGTCCATGCAGCGCTAGCGCTTTGTCTTCCAAGTTAGAGGCGAAGAATAATACCAAAGTAATCCCGCTTACATGCTGCAGCCAGCCACTGGGGGTTTCTTCGGAGGTATATGCGAAGTCGATGTCGGTTTTCTCAAGCCACACTTTTACTTCCCCGAATGAGCCTATTCCTTCGTGGAATTTGGCAAGCGGCGAGACACTGGAGGGCGCTTCACCTGCGTTTTCAAGGAAGTGCGTTGTTGAGATGACTCCACTAAAATCTGTATCAGCCTGTCACAGGCGAAAGCTGCGTGGTTTCGAGAATCTGCGTTTAATGATTACGCGACAGAACTTTTACGCGTGAGATCGCACAGCCCCTACCTTTGGTGAGGTCAAGAATGCGCGGTAGCAGCATCGGCACCTAGTATTCAGTATCCTGAATATACACTTGAACTAAATCGTGAATAAGCATGCTGTCAAAGACCAGGTTAACATTTTTGTTCAACTTGTGGCTTGTCTGAAGTAGTTCCCAACGAACATTCGCTAAGTTGAAATTTAAGATATCATTTTTTTTTACTCTGGAAGTGTGCCATATGTTCTTGCGGTTTAAGCAAATATTGAGGAGCAACATATGGTGGTCTTGAGTACGCTCTTAATACAAAGTTTTGACTGTAATAGGTTATCTTGATGCACAAACGCTCACGATCAGTGATTTCCGCTAAAACTATCGCTCGTATTTGAGGCTTGACAAGGATAGCAACACTTCCACACTTTTTTGTGTGGTCCTTACGATAATACACTGTATCTCGCGGGGAAAAATAAATTACCACGTGTTCTAGTTCATAACCACGTTTCAATTGGTACAGTAATCTGCGGGTTGTGTTTGAGTAGTGTGGATTCAATAGATTTTTTTTTATATTGCAATGCTTCGCGAGCTGATATTTAGGATTCTCAAGTTATGTTCCTTCGGTATTGTGGGATTCCAGGTATTCGAAGCTACTTGACGGGATAAATGAGCTCATTTAATGATGTCGAAAAGCTTAACTCTAAACTATTTCGCAGTCGCTCAATCGAATGGTGCACAGTTACATACCACGCGATACACAATATATAATATGCAACACCTATAAAGATTTGAATAAACAAAGAAGCGGCTGAAATAAGTTGAGGCAAAACTGCAATTCGGATTATTTATAACTCAATCATGTTGACATTTTTGGGTAGCAACATGGGGAGGAATGATGAGAAAATCAAACGGGCGCCCGTTTGTCTTTCACATCTTTGTGCCCGTGTGCCTGCGCAAAAACTTCAAAATGAAATCACTAGTCCGACGCCTATCGCATAGTGTGCGAACCATCACTCCTTTTTCTAGCTGCAAAGCCGGTAAACTTGTTCAAATGATCTGTTAGTTGACGATGCAAGAGGTGCGATGGTACGCAACGAAATGAAACTTTATTGATTGATATGTAGGGTTCAACGTCCCAAAACCACCATATGATTATGAGAGATGCCGTAGTGGAGGGCTCTGTAAATTTCGATTACCTGGGGTTCTTCAACGTGCGCCCAAATCTGAGAACACGGGCCTACAACATTTCCGCCTCCATCGGAAATGCAGCCGCCGCTGCCGGGATTTGATCCCACGACCTGAGGGTCAGCAGCCGAGTACCTTAGCCACTAGACCACCGCGGCGGGGCAACGAAATGAAACTTGTCTCTCAAAAATAAAATATATTCGAAGCATGCTGTGTGAAGCCTACTGTGTTTATCTGCATAAAATTCTTACTTTCCAGCTGTTGGCTATTATAGGCAAAGTGCTGCATGAACAGATGACTGAACTAGTTGGTTAATGGTCGGAGAAAACAGCGCCGAGTCCACAGTTTAAACAACGATGGTCTTCGTTAAAATGCTCCGCATCTAAAACGGAAAGACCACCAATGTCATGATCATCATCACAACATTTTCGTTCAAGTTATGGCCTACAATTTCCTGCGACGCTTTTGCTCGCGCAGCATAAGTGTCGCTTGGGATGACATTGAGTCCATGCAGTGCTAGCGCTTTGTCTTCCAAGTTACAGGCGAAGAATAATACCAAAGTAATCCCGCTTACATGCTGCAGCCAGCCACTGGGGGTTTCTTCGGAGGTATATGCGAAGTCGATGTCGGTTTTCTCAAGCCACACTTTTACTTCCCCGAATGAGCCTATTCCATCGTAGAATTCAGCAAGCGGTGAGACACTGGAGGGCGCTTCACCTGCGTTTTCAAGAAAGTGCGTTGTTGAGGTGACTCTACTAAAATCTGTATCAGCCTGTCGCAGGCGAAAGCTGCGTGGTTTCGAGAATGTGCGTTTAATGATTACGCGACAGAACTTGCAAGCGAGAGATCGCACAGCCCCCACCTTTGGCGAGGTCAAGAATGCGCGGTAGCAGCATCGGCACCTAGTATTCAGTATCCTGAATATAAACTTGAACTAAATCGTGAATAAGCATGCTGTCAAAGACCACGTTAACATTTTTGTTCAACTTGTCGCTGCCTGAAGTAGTTCCCAACGAACATTCGCTAAGTTAAAATTTAAGATATCAATTTTTTTTACTCTAGAAGTGTGTCATATGTTCTTGCGGTTTGAGCAAATATTCAGGAGCAACATATGGTGGTCTTGAGCACGCTCTTAATACAAAGTTTTGACTGTAATGGGTTATCTTGATGCACAAACGCTCACGATCAGTGACTTCCGCTAAAACTATCGCTCGTATTTGAGGCTTGACAAGAATAGCAACACTCCCACACTTTTTTTGTGTGCTCCTTACGATAATACACTGTATCTCGCGGGGAAAAATATATTATCACGTGTTCTAGTTCATAACCACGTTTCAATTGGTACAGTAATGTGCGGGTTGTATTTGAATAGTGTGGCTTCTATAGATTTTTTTGTATATTGCAATGCTTCGCGAGCTGATATTTAGGATTCTCAAGTTGTGTTCCTTCAGTATCCTGGGATTGCAGGTATTCGAAGCTACTTGACGGGATAAATGAACTCATTTAGTGATGTCAAAAGGCCTAACTCTAAACTATTTCGCAGTCGGTCAATCGAATGGTGCACAGTTACATACCACGTGATACACAATATATAATATACAACACCTATAAAGATTTGAATAACCAAAAAAGCGGCTGAAATAAGTTGAGACAAAAACTGCAATTCGGTCTATTTATAACTGAATCATGTTGACGTTTTTGGGTAGTAATATGGGGAGGAATGATGAGAAAATCAAACGGGCGCCCGTTTGTCTTTCACATCTTTGTGCCTGTGTGCCTGCGCAAAAACTTCAAAATGAAATCACTTGTCCGACGCCTATAGCATAGTGTGCGAACCATCACTCCTTTTTCTAGCTGAACAGCCGGTAAACTTGTTCAAATGATTGACTACGCCAGAGGTGCGATGGTATGCAACGAAATGAAACTTTATTGATTGATATGTGGGGTTTAACGTCCCAAAACCACCATATGATTATGACAGACGTCGTAGTGGAGGGCTCCGGACATTTCGACCACCTGGGGTTCTTTAACGTGCGCCCAAATCTGAGCACACGGGCCTACAACATCTCCGCCTCCATCGGAAATGCAACCGCCGCAGCCGGGATTTGATCCTGCGACCTGCGGATCAGCAGCCGAGTACCTCCACTAGACCACCGTGGCGGGGCAACGGAATGAAACTTGTCTCTCAAATAGAAAATATATTCGGAAATGTGGGCGTTAACTTAGTGAGCTCTCAATTTCTGAAATAAATTGAAATGAAATTAAGACCTTTTCCGTCATTATTTTTTCATTTTTACTGGGATCAGTGGCGGCCGAATTTCATTGCAACGACTCACCCCTCACCCCCGTCCTCTCTTTGGTCGAGTCTTGAACAAAGCAAGCTCCTCAATGACTGGAAAACAAAAAAAAACATGAAAGGGAAGTGATAACGTTCTTCTCGCAACTGCTTGCCATCAGTCTACGGCTTTCAGGTCTAAAGGAAATGAGCAGTTCTTCGAATGCAACATCAGGTGCCCTTGACCGCTATTATCATCAAAAAACGTGCGTAGCTGCAACCCTACGATTTAGAGGGATACTAATGAGCAAGACATTTTAGGGGCGAAGCTCCTTATGGCGTGGCCTGTGCATCCCTCGTAGTACGTAACCACCAGTGGCACATACCCGAAATAGGTATAACATTTGACCTCCAAGGTGGTGCCGGTGAGAGATTTCTTCTGTGCGTTGTTTAACAATAAAAAATAGTGCTCAATGTACATGCCAATGGCTGCTAATGGGGAATGAGAGACAGGAGCATTCGGCTTTTAGTCACGCGCACGCTGTGATCCCCATTAGCAGCCATTGGCATGTACATTGAGCACTATCGGACAAGAAAGGGTTGCTACATTATACTCGCTGGGTGTAACCTCCTTAGTTTTAGAAATGTTTAGCGAGCGTTGAGCCGCAGGGTCATGAATACAATGAACTAGTATATACCATGAATGAATTCGAGGTGGTTAAAGGGGGGGAAGCAGATACGAAGCGCAAGCCGTAAGAAATTAAAAGCTGAATCCTCCTGTCTCTCATTCCACATTAGCAGCCACTGGCATGTACATTGAGCACTACCTGACAGGAAAAGGTTGCTACGGTATACTCGCTGGGCGTAACCTCCTTGGTTTTAGAAAGGTTTAGAGAGCCTTGGGCCGCAGTGCCATGAATACAGTGAACTAGTATATACCATGAACTCGAGGTGGTTAAAGGTGGGAAGTGGACTCGAAGCGCAAGCCGTAAGAAAGTGTGCGTGTGCCACCTCTCGTTTAGTCCTTGGAATGTCCACTGAATGGCGGTGCTTCTATATGGGGAATATATGATAAAAAGGTGCGAGATGGTGGGACTTGAAGTGTTGAATAGATGGACGAACGGACACACAGACAGATGCATGGATGGACGCATGAACGGACGCAGGGGCGGATGCATGAACGAACGCAGGGATGGGCGCACGAACAGACGCATGGACGGTCACACAGACGGACGCATGGATGGACGAATGCTTCGCCCCACTCTCCATCATTCACTCCGTGGATATGCTGCCATTTTTTTTCTCGTACTAATGAAGTTCTCTTTCGCGATACCGAAAACATCACACTTCCGGAAATAAAACTCTTGATAAAAAAACGCGCAAAAAGAAAATGCTGGAGGGCTGTGCCAC